TGTCCAAAAAAAATGAGTTCAGAATATTTGAAATATTCACACAACCTCGCCCCAACCCCCACAAACAACCAATACGAGACGAAATTAATGAGAAAATTTATTTAATCAAAGCACTTTAATCTGCTGAATAAAACTAAATCTGGTTTGGGCACAGTTCCTGCAGTTAGAATATTTAGCTGCATTTACAGCAGTTAAAGCAAGAACTAAACCTTGAATACCAATCCTCTCCTTCCCACACAGATACACCTGAAATATCGAGTCGGTCTTTTTTAACCCCCCAAAAGGTATTATCTTTATTAACAGACAACCCGTCGTTCAATAACATCAGATAACAGATTAAAAGGGAACCATAGTGAGTCAAACATTTTCCTCTATAATGGTGGGACACTAAAAATAACCACTATGCGTGTACTACTAAAAAAACTGTTTAACTGCCAATCTTTTAAATTCTGATCATAAGCTTCATAAACATTAACCTTAATTAAATTAAAAAGCTTTCACCTCTGAATTGTGTAAAAGGGGTATGTAATTTTTAACTTAATTGTTATTACAAACTTATTATCAAACCCACCAACAATTTTTTTTAACATTTTAACATGCTCTAATACTTAAAATCATCTAGAAAAAAGTAGTCTACGTATATAATAATTCTCTTCCCTCATATATATATTTGTTTGTATATATGTTAGCTTTAGCTGGCCAAACGGCTGGACCGAATGGGCTAAACTGTGTTGAGGGAACCCATGGGTGCCCGTGTTTTTTTCAAAAATCTGATTTTTTCTTTAAATATCGAATTTTTTTTACGATATTAAAAAAAAAATTTCCACGGGCAACGCCGGGCATCTCAGCTATTTATAAAATAATTTCAATCACCTGGGTATACAGTTTGTAGATATCCGCTATTTCTGTATTTATCAGTTTATTTTGACCAAGGTTTATTTTTTTAGCCGAGCCAATGTTAATCTGTTTCGCTGGATTCGGTTGATTTAGGCTAAAAATTAGCTGAACTAAACCGATCTGAAAAAGTGTTAAGTGTATTTTATGTATAAATGAGGATAAAAATGTATATATTGATTATCTAATAAACTGATTACTATATGTATCTACTAGCTTGGGAAACCATCATCACCCAGCCCAGGATACTTATAATTACTCCCACCGTTTACCCTTACTTGGTCGATTTTACTGGGAAACTAAATTTTCAAACCACTCAACTTAGAACCACAAAACCAAGTTATTAGAACATTCCCATAGCTATACCGAGTTCCCAATAACATTTAAGGCAAATCGGTCTAGGGGTTCCAGAGCTGTGATCGGACATACAAACAGACAAACAGAGATTACAACTTTTATATAAAGGTGTTTAATCATTTGTAAGCTAAGCTTAAAATTTGGGAAAATACCTTTCTAAAATTTTAAAGTAAGTACTTTATAGGTAAAGCTTTTTCGGTGAATCAAATCTCTATAAAACTTTTAAACAAACTTCTAGAACAGCAATTTTTAAATGCTCCGGTAAGATAAATTCAGAATATATTAAAATGTTAAAATTTTGAAAATTTAATTTTTAATAGTTAAATGGTTTATCACTCAATAGAGTCTAATTTCTTAAAATTGTCTTATTTTGTAAAGAATCGTCTTACTTTGTAAAAGCCTAAAAGCATGCACTGCCAGGCTAAGGAAAAACAGGATTCTAGCCAGCATCTAGGGACAGGTTGACCCAACAAGCTAGCTGCTTCTTCAAGATAGCGCATTGCGTTCAGACCCATTTTGGACTCAATCTCTCTAAATAGTCAGTTTCCAAATACTTTTTATATCTTAATGTTTTCTATCTGAATGTTTTCTTTCTGAATGTTTTCTATCTGAATGTTTTCTATCTGAAATGTATTCTATCTGAATGTTTTCTATCTTGAATATTTTCTATCTGAATGTTTTCTAGGTGGAATAGTTTCCATCTGAAATGTTTTCTATCTGAATGTTTTCTATCTGAAATGTTTTCTATCTGAAAGTTTTCTATCTTGAATATTTTCTATCTAAATGTTTTCTATCTGAATGTTTTCTATCTGAATGTTTTCTATCTTGAATATTTTCTATCTCAACGTTTTCTAACTGGAATAGTTTCCATCTGAAATGTTTTCTATCTTGAATCTTCTCTATTTGCTCGATTTCAATGCAATAATAAGAATTTTCTTTATTTGTAAAAAATTGACTTGATTTCCTTCGACTTCTCTCGTTTTATTAAAAACTGTACGAGTACATGTTATTTTCAGGGGAAAAACAATTGTTTCTCAACCATCATTGATAAGAACAAGGTTTACGGGATTATTGTGAAATATCATTTAAAAAGATTGAAAATACCTTTCTGCTTGTCTCTTGATCTGCCAATATTTTGCCATTTTCTTTGGATTCTCTTCGCAGTAATCATCCGTTCGCACCAAAATTTTGCACAGACCTACAAATTTAAAGTTTTTTACGGGGTCTTTCTTAAACACAGCAGGTGATGTGAAAGCCTCAGTTATGATGATTTCGTTTTTTTTTGACAAAACGTTGTATCAAGGTTGAATCAAATTTTATGCACGTTTTAAGTTTAAATTTTTGATCTAATGGCTTAAACAAAGAGAAAGTGTTTGCTGTAAAAATTTAGTTGTCTGGTATTAAGATAAAGATTTCCAAAGTGTACAAAAAAAATTAGTTCAGAATTGAGGTTCTGGTATCGATAGAAAAAAAACATGATACATGGTGTGTGTTTGTCCCAATAGATCGGAAAAAGTTACAAACAAGATACATGGTTTGTGTTTGTTCCAAACTCAAATATCAACTCCTGTTTTTACCGAGACACCCTGTATTATTGATGTTAAATTGGAATTCCGAAAACCGGTTTAAAATCAAAATGGAGTGTTCCATAGTGTCCGTGTCAAGTTATGTCAAGATTATGTTCAGATAATCACAATTCTTGTATAAACAACATAAATTCCAAATATAAACCAGTAGACGAGTTATACAATATAACATTAAATAACCAGGTAAAAGAAGTAGTATATTTGTATAAAACCATATCATCTCTATTACTTACTAAAAGGAAGAGAATATTAAAGATACAAAGTATAAAAGTATTAAAAAATGTCCTCCATTCTTTTGATGAAATTTCACCGCTCTAATTCTTAGATCTATTTATTGATAGCCTTACTTGGACTATTTGGACAGGTACATTAGAAGTAAATTGCGAATTTATCAATTTCCATCAGTCTGATTTTTATGAAATTTTAGAATTAGATAGAAATTATACATTTTTTCTTTTCTTCACTTCTGATTTTAAGAAGAAAAAAAGGTTCGCGGATTTTCTTTGTGCTACCATGCGAGTATTAAAAATTAAAACAATATTCCAAATATTGCAAAAATTTCATGAAAAAGAATTTTATGAAAAACATGTTATGTCTATCACACGTTTTTTTTTATAAATATATATATATATAACACTAACCTACTAATAGGACGAGTATATTGAAGATGGAAAGTAGGAATGAGGAAGAGAACTCCTTGAACAGCTGGTTAAAGGAGGCTGGGGTATCTGTCTGCAATTAAAACAGGAAATTAATTTTTAAAAAATAATTCTAAGTACCTCTGATATAAGAATGGAAAAATTGAGCAAAAATCAAGAGAAAATGGTTTTAACTGACAAATAATAAAAAATTGTTCACTATTGGGCTTTAAATGAATGAAATAAAACCAGGGCTTTAAATGATTGAAATAAAACCAAAGATTTAAAAATGTCTTTATAGTAAAGAAAAGCAGTGACTGAAATCTTTTATTTTTTGCTTTCAAAATAAATTCACACTAATCGCCATCTTACGATTGGTTTCGGTAATTTTGTGAATTTTAATCCGGAGAACTGTACAGAGTACGGTACTGTAAAAAGAGTTGCACTTAGTGTACTGTACAGTGTACACTTACCTCCAGAATTGTTCTTCCTCCTCCAGCAACAGTGGTGTACAGGGAATCCCGCTCATTAAACAGTACACCAAGGGGGTTAAACAGTACAACAGAGAACAGGAGCTAAATACAACAGTAAATTTATAAGCTAAAATAGTGAAACAGAAAACAGGAGCTAAATGAACATAAAAAAATTAATAAGATTAAACAGAACATAAAATAACAGAATCTAATTACAACAGTTCACTCAAAAGTAAGAGTATACATTTGAAGGTTTCCTTGAAACCAAGGTAATGAGTTATTTAAAATGTAATGGTCCTATTGTTTTAACTCTGAAATCATTGCTGGCTTCACGGCAATTGCTAAAAATACAAGTTTGTGAACTGTTTGCAAAATGCATTAGTTTTTCTAATGATATTGATATTACCAGTTTACATTTATCAGATAACAATCTTATTTAATACCTTTCATCCTTTTAAAGTTAAAGGGGATATTCAACAAAATTTAGACAAACTAAAATGTATATACAGACGAAATAGTAGTTCTCTATCTATGCAAATTACGCAAGTTAACAATTTGGAGAAAAAGAATTTTTTACTTGAAGTTTAAAGATGAAAGATTTAAATTACGAAGCTGTGAATTAACAAGTTGTTACAGATAATGTATTGAAAAAACTAAAAATCTGGTTCTGATAGTTATGCAATGCATGTCATTACTATTGCAGATAGCCATCTTTAAACATTACAGGTGTTTTGGCTACAGACGGAAATCACGTGACCAGTAAACTCCACTGTCATTGGTTGAAGTTCTGGGGACGTAATACGGACTAAATGTAATAATATTTTCAATTATATCTATTAAAAATGCAAAGTAAAAATTTAAAAATTATAATAGATTCTCAGGCTCCAGAAGAATGTAATCGTTTTCTGATTGGTTGCGTATCTGCTGCATATGATCTGATTAAACCTACTACTTTTATACAAAATTGTATATAAATGAATTTTCGTATAATTTTGACACAATTTTATATCAATTTTTTGAGACAGGCACATAAGATAGATGTCTTACATGTACCGTTCAACGTCTGAGATTCTCAGGTTTCATCCTTTACCCCTTTCATTTTTCCATTACAGTCCCTTTCAGAATAAAATTTTTGCAGAATGTAGGAAAGCAAACTTTTAGATGAACAATTTTGAAAAAGGATTAACATCTGAGATTCCATTGGAGTCTCCTAAAAGTCAACAAACATTTAAATGTTTAAAATAAAAAACTAACCTTAGAAAGATGCCCATCCCTGGTCAATGATCAAGACTTATAAATAAATAATAATATATTACCATACATAATCCTAATCTGGATTTATCCATGAGTCTACTTTTCTCAACCATTCCATTCACGGGAGAACCTGAACATAGCATTCATGATTGTTCATAACTTGTTCATTGTTCATTGTTAATTGTTCATGGTTCATCGTTCAAAATTTTATTACAGGATGAAGGAAGGCTACTTGAAAGTCCATAAAGTCCACCTAGGTATTTTTTATTATCAAATAGATAGAAAAGGATTCTGTTTGGATCTTCTAATGGTTTCAGGTTCACAGCTTCAAGTGCATATATATCAACCTCCAACATTTGAGGTATACTATTCAAAGGAAAAATGTCAGTTTTTAAACCAAATATTATATTAGAGTAGATAAATTCTAATTTTTAAGTTCCTTAAATCTTTAATGTTTACATCAAATTTCAAATATTAAATTAAGTTCTAATCTTTTCTGTCCACTCAAACAGCATTTTGTATCAATCTAATAAAATAGTTTTTTTTAATTTTCAGTCTTTGTAGGAAAATTACAGGTGTGGAGAAAAATTAAACATCACTTGCAGGTTCTTTCTCCCTTTAAAAGCTTTAAAATCTGGACATATTGAAGATAAAATATTATTTTTGAGGAGTAAAATGTTTATGAAAAATCACAACCCATAAAAAAAGAACCAACTGATAATAGAAATATAATGATAAAGAATTATAATTAAATTAAACCTGTTTCGTATACATAAGAAGCAGGAGACAAACTTAACTCGTCATTGCAACTGTCCGAATTGTCCAAGCTCTAAAATAAAATTTTATAAAAGTCATTTTATTATCTTCACTTCACAGTGAATGTTACGACACAATGCACCAAAAGGATCCGAGTCCAATAAAATGGCAGTGTAACAACAATTATCCTCTGGTAAAATAAAAATAAAATTTTTAAAAAATTAAACGTTTAAAAAAAGAAAGAAGTTTTTGTTAAAATAAAAGTATTTATTATAATATAAATTACGTATTTCTCAAATAAATGACTTTTGTAGAAGTACAGATCAAATCAGACTGTTTAGAATGTCCTATTATCCACCCCCGACAACCATGTCAAGAATGAAGTGAGGTCTTATAGCTTGAACCGTTTTGAAAGGAAAAATTAAAGAATTGCGTTAAATCCATTATTCATTATAGTCATGTAAGAAAACCAGTCCGTCTCTCTCACTTTGTGTACAAAATAACACGAGCATTTCTATCTGCGCAACCCGACCTTACTAATACAAGGATTTGCACATTAATAACATTTATTGAGTCTAAAGGTATTAGTAGTGCTCGGACCGGTATAGCGGTCAGCGCATTCAAGTCAAAATATATTTACAAGTTCAGAGTATATTACGAGTTATATTTATATTTATTACAGTCATTTTTGTTATTAAAAAGAGAAGACCATTCTGGCCGTTTGGCATTATATACTCTTAATGTGACTAATATTGATGTTGAAATCATTTGTACAGCGGATATCCGATATTATGATGAAACGTTTTAAAAATGTTCGTTGTGAAAATACCTTTGTAGGACTGTATGCTTGGTCGGAGTATGATGGACTGATGGAACCATTGATTTGCTGGTAACCAACTCCTCCTCCTCCTCCTCCACCACCACCTCCTGCAGGTAAACGTCCAATCATTCCATCATCTTTTTATTTATTAAAACACTAACTCCGGAACCTATCTTTGCCTGAAATCAATCCACTCAACTAAGAATTTTTAAGCTCAGAAGAATCTCGTGGTTCCCCAATCAAGGTTTCAGAGGCCGAATTTAAAGAATTTGAACGGCGGCTTAAATTTAAGCCGCGGCTTAAATATTGTTGGTTCCACTTAAAAGTGTATCAAATGTTTCAAGATTTAAGCCGGCGTTTAATTTAAACCGGGTTTTGGCGGATTTAAGCCGCGGCTCAAATTCGTAAAATTCGGCCTCAGGTAAATCGGTTAAAGGATTGAGTAATGATCGGACATACAAACCAGAAGACAGACAAACAGAGATTTCTACTTTTTATATATTTTCCAGGATTCGGATCCAGCTGATCAATATATCTTCAAGTTTTAATAATTTCTTCTTTATCAATTTTCCAAATTTTTTTCTTATTTTCGCTTTTCTAAGTAGAAACTTTATGTACCATTACTGGACTAGGAAGATAAATAATATTTCAAAAGATGACAGATGTTAGTGTTTGAGAGAAATAAGTTTTAGTTGTTATTCAGCCACTTGGATCAGGATATTTTTGCGGTTTGGGATACTTTGCATAAACAAAGGACAAAATCATTTCACTTGAGAATAAGACAAAAATTATTTTTCTTTGAAAAAAATAATCACTACTTTAGCTAGTAAGCAATAGTTCTTTCTGTTTGCAAAAAAAAGATCAAGTAAATGCACCCTATTGAATAATTAGATATAATTATATATCAGATATTGAAAATTTTCGAAAAACACGTGATATAGCTTATGACGTAAATCTAATTTATAAAAAAATATATCAGTTTATCCCTAAACGCCAATTTTTAAATAAAAGTAATCTTGATATTTATCATAACTCTTACTAAAATTTCACAGGAAAATATGAACAAAATGTTTTAAACAATTGTTAAATATAGTATTTCCTACAAACACCAATATCTTAAAACATTTCTGTGGGTTTCTAGAAAGTCCTAGGGCGCCATTTTTTCAGTTTGAAAGAGAAGAGAGGTGATTGATAATTGCTATAAAACTTCATTATATCCAGACCCAACCATAAACTGATTAAAGCGAATAAAGTTCTTAAGCTCTATCAAGAAGGACCCGAAACAAAAACGCGGCAATTTCAGATTTCCAATCACGTCAATCAAAATTGACAGGAAAATTTCGTTATGAATTTTTAGATTTAAAAAAAAAATTATAAGAAATTAACTTTATTTTGAACTTTCTGAAAACAATGTACAAGCGTAAAAGTATTCTAGAAAACCTATTTAATAAAGAAAAATTATTTTAAATTATTCTATACTTAATAAATCCTTTACCAATGACTAGTAATCAGTAATCAAACCTGTAAATGATTGGCAGCCCATTCTCTTCCGTAGTCCGTTGTTCTCTTGTTTCAATTTCATGTTTTGATTCTAAACAGAAAACAATTTAATATTTGGATTCTAAACAGAAAACAGTTTTAATTTAATATTTTGATTCTAAATAGAAAACAGAGTTTGAATTTGATATTTTGATTCTAAACAGAAAACAGCTTTTTAATTTAATATTTTGATTCAAAACAGAAAACAGAGTTTTAATTTAATATTTTGATTCTAAACAGAAAACAGTGTTTTAATTTAATATTTTGATTCAAAACAGAAAACAGACTTAAAATTTAATATTTTGATTCTAAACAGAAAACAGACTTTTAATTTAATATTTTGATTCTAAACAGAAAACGGAGTTTTAATTTAATATTTTGATTCTGAACAGAAAACGGAGTTTTAATTGAATAATTAAATTATTAACAGAAAACAAAAAAATTTTGAAACATGATAATTACAATTAACCTTGGCAGAGCTGGAACCCAGCACTGCCAAGGTTACTAAAAGTTACTCCCGCCGTTTACCCGCACTTAAACTATTTTACCAGGAAACTAAATTTCCGCTATTAAAGTCAAACCACTCAACTTAAAATGTTTAAAGAACATTCCCCTGGGTCTCCTGCGTTACACAATCAAAATGTGAGGCAAATCGGTCCTGGATTTTAATCGGAAAAACAAACAGAGATTATAACTTTATAATTATAGATTTCAAGTTCGGCAAGGCACGTCGTTTAAAAAAAATTGTGTGGGTGTTAAATTTTTTTTTTATTTGGAAGCAATGTTTTTCAGTCGTTTTGAATTTAATCAGATCCTAACCAATCAAAAATCAAATTTATATAAAAGTATACCTGTAAATATTTGATGTACTCTATGGCTTTCCGGAGAATTGCGGATTTGTTAAGTTTAGCTCCCTCCCCCGCTACTATATCCTTCAGTTCTGTAATTCTAAACAATATATAAAAATTAACAAATCTTGAATTGATTAAGAGAAAAAATGATAGAAATCTGATTAAAGGGACTGTACACGTAATTTCAAGTGATTCTTTATTTATTATGTGAAATTTCCCGACTAATAACTTACCTTTAATAACTTTTTATGCCAAAGATTGAATAAGATGCCCTTATTTTTCTCTTTGAAAATTGATTTTTTCCAATTGTGATTTCTCAATAAAAGTGACTTTCAAATTTCTGCTACAAAACATTTTTCAAGTAAAAGCGGGACGATAAATTTTGACATTATTTATTAGATAAATGTATAAATGTATAATGAGTACAGTTGTAAATCAGGTATGTCATTGTCCCTCTTTAAATTACGATAGTCTCATAAAACTCATAAAAGAACCTTCAAGCAGTTCACTGAACATGAATGATTGCTGATAGCAAAATAAAGAAATGGGGGGGGGGGGGTTAACTTTTTAATCTTAATTAAAGGCGGTGTTGAAGAAAAAATAAAAGTTATTCATGAAAATTTGATAACTAATTCAATTCAAATTTGATTCGAGTGGTGATAAACCCAATTTAAGCCAAGCTTTGTCTGGAAACCAAGTTTTCTAAAATGGCCGATCTATTAAATTAGACTTTTCAAACCAAGAAAGAACATTTGCGTGGTTTATGTTGCAGACTTCCTCAATCAAAATTGAAGAATTTTGTAAAAGGGTTTAATGAATTTAGATCGGACAGACAGAGAGTATACAAAATACTTCTATATATATAAAGTAGTTATCTCTGTTTGTCTGTTTGCTCAGATGTCCGATCATAACTTTTGAACCCCTTAATATATTTGATTGGGAAATTTGCGAAACCACGGAAATGCTCTTAGCTTGGTTTGAAAATTCAATGTTAAGTGGGTTGCTTTTATAGAGACAATATAGTTCCCAGGCAATGCTGGGGTTCAAGGCTAATTTATGCTTACTTTTCATTAATAGATGATCTGTATCGCTTCTCTATAATATTGTGACCAGATTTTCGAACCGTTCTTGGTTGGTTTATCCCAGGGGTTATACTAACTATAATAATAATATAATTAATAATAGATAGAGATGTTAGGTACTTTCCCAAGGGTATTTTCCCAAATGCCAACTTCACAAATGTACAATTTCCCAAGCCGCAGCGCTCGGCCCCCATTGCCTGTTGGAAAATTGCACATATGGGAACTTGTCACTTAGGATTGTCACTTGGGAAAATGCCTTTGGTATAGTAACACCATAAATATTAATTATATTTTCATAATAAATAAATCAATATATAAGGATTATTACTCTAATTAGTAATTAGTATTTATAATTATATCATAATTTGAAGAATATATTATTGTGGATAGGACCAGCAGACCATTAGACCTTTCAACAATTGGGACAATTAGCCATTAAACCAATGAGGACGGAAGATATAATTTTAATAACTCTCCGTTCATAGGGTGGCATGTACGATTTACATCAGTATCCTTGAAAAGTTTCGAGTGAGTCAGAACGGATAAGAAATGCCTCTATTAATTGATTATTTTCAGTTTTGGTTTCTGTACAGTTAGGCTTTAAGGGTGCTTCGCGCCCATCTTCTATTTGAACTTTTAATTGTGGCTTTATCTGTGAGCATCTTCTCTTTGTACAGTATAAAACAAAAACAAAAAAGGTTTGCGGATTTCATTATATTTTTTCGCGCATTTTCAAGATTTTCGTGATGTCCCACAAAAAAATTGGGCCCGATCGGTTCAGCCGTTTTGACGTTTATTAGATGCAAACAAACAGACATACAAAAAAAAGACAGACAAGCCATTTTTATATTTAGATGATTTGCTGAAAAAAGAAACAATAGAGAAAATTGTTAGATTTGAACAGACTAAGCTAGGTCTAAAGGTACAATTATAAATCAGGTATGTTTCTCTTTTAATAAAGGGCTGGTTAAAATTATAACAATTGTTCTTTAAGCATAATAAACTATTTCTAAAAATTAACGAATTTGTTAAACATTATTCTTACATTGTATCGGATTCTGCTGAGAAGCATCCTGAGGTCGTTGAAGCAAATTTTTCAAACTAAAATCTGACGAATCCAATTCTAAAAAAATGAATAAAATTAAAAATCTGCACAATACTTGACTAAAAATCTAGAACATATCAGCAGTGTAATTAGTATACTCGGAGTAGGTTTACCTGTCAGCAGTATAATTGGTATACCCGGAATAAGTTTACCTGTCAGCAGTATAATTGGTATACCCGGAGTAAGTTTACCTGTCAGCAGTAAAATTGGTATACCCGGAATAAGCTTACCTGTCAGCAGTGTAATCAGTATACTCGGAGTAAGTTTACCTGTCAGCAGTAAAATTGGTATACCCGGAATAGGTTTACCTGTCAGCAGTAAAATTGGTATACCCGGAGTAAGTTTACCTGTCAGCAGTAAAATTGGTATACCCGGAATAAGTTTACCTGTCAGCAGTGTAATTAGTATACTCGGAGTAAGTTTACCTGTCAGCAGTATAATTGGTATACCCGGAATAGGTTTACCTGTCAGCAGTATAATTGGTATACCCGGAGTAATTTAACCTATCAGCATTTTAATTAGTATACCCGGAGTAAGTTTACCTGTCAGCAGTATAATAAGTATACCCGGAGTAAGTTTACCTGTCAGCAGTGTAATTGGTATACCCGGAGTAAGAACTGGACCGTGGCTTGTGTTAACCAAGGTATGAATGGTTTGTCCTAAAAAAATAATTTTAGGGAAAGAATTGTTTCTCTCGGCGTCATCTTTGTTCATGTTACGCTCATTAAACAAGCTTTACAAGTTTTGGAATTCAAAACAATATTACCAAATTCGTACAAACATTCATATCATTTTCGACTGTCTATAGACAAAAAAAATTCTTTTTTAACTTTCGTCCTTGTTCTTGTTCTCATTTATTAAATTCAGTAGATTGTGTTTGAACTATGTACTGTGCATAACTATACAAAAGAAGCTGAAGTTAAATCTCGGCTACACTATTTATTATACCAAGAGTAACGACCTTAAATTATATCTTGGCTATACTATTAATAATACCAAAGTAACTCTTAAATTAACTAAACGGGGTATTTCGCAGAATTAACTCTGGGCGGTGCGTAGAGGCGTATACAGAGATTTTTTCGATGGGGTGAGTGGGAGTGGGGTCTTAATGACTGGTTCATGACATATTGAAAAATTAACACTAGACACCTCCCCGCCCCTTTATTAGTTAATTCACTTAATAAAAGGAAGGTTTGCTCACAAACAACAATATTTTTTTTAGTTTTCTTATCGCTAGATTTTACTTTTTAACATTTAGGAAACAAATTTAAACTTTTTGGGGAAGGTTTTTTAAACGCTTTGTTTTAAAGCCACCCTACCGCCTCCTGTCCTACCGATGCTTGTGGCAAATGCAAATGTGTCGGGGAAAAAAATTAAAAATAAACTAGAAACGAACCTTCAAAATTCCTGAAAACTCTTTTATTTGAAAATCCCAATAAGATCGCAATAAAAAATGGAACTAACCTGGTTGAGCATTTGCGTAGATAGTTCCATTTGTAGCCTTACTCTTTGCCGCAACATCTACCATAGTATTTTATTTATTCTTTTCTTATCTAATTCTATCCAATTTAAGTTTTTACAAAAAATTTAAATTATTTTTTTTTTCTTTCCTGACCCTAATACCCTTCTTCTTATTTGTACAGTGACAAAGATTGATATGCAGTTTTTAAATTATTTGATAACAGAGAAAATAATTCAAACCAACTTTTAATCTAATAATTAATCATATTCTATTCGACCCAAAATATTATCTAACATGTTTTAGATTTAACAAAATTATTAATTGTAAAAAATCAGTAAAGAGACTCTTGACGGCGTTTCAAGGGTTTCCTTGAAATTTCGTCGACAAACCCTTTAATTTTTAAATAAAATTGAACTGCATTTTTTGATCAATAAAGGACTAATAATTCTAAGTTTGTATTTGTTTACTTGTTCTGTTTTGTGAAACTGATTTGTTTAGGTTTCCTGTCTGTACAATAACACTGGACCGTCCCTAGAACAAATTCAAAATATTAAACTTTATTTTAATAATTTTATTGTTTATTTTAAATACGAACAAGAACATTCCCTTGGTTTTACCAAGGTCCCCAATCAAAATTTGAGGCAAATCGGTCAATGGGTTAATGAATTATGATCGAAAATAAAAACAAACCTAGATAACTACAACAATCTATATAAAAGAAAAAAAGATATGAATTTTCTTTCTTTCTGTGAGCTTGATATTTTACAATCTCGGGGGTATCTGACCTGCTGAACTGTTGTTGAAGATCCCTCTCTGACAGGTTCATCCTGAATACATGCTTGTATTGGATCAAGGTCAGATCAGGTCAGATCAGGTCAGATCAGGTCAGATCAGGTCAGATCAGGTCAGGTCAAATCAGGTCAGATCAGGGCAGATAAGGTCAGATCAGGTCAGATTAGATCGGGTCGGGTCAGATTAGGTTAGATCAGGTAAGATCAGGTGAAATCAGGTGAGATCAGGTCAAATCATTTCGGATAAGGTCAGATCAGGTCAGATCAGATCGGGTCGGGTCGGGTTGGGTCAGGTCAGGTCAGGTCAGTTTAAATCAGTTCTCGTAAGATCAGATCTGAAATTAGTCTCCAGTATGATGTGGATAGGTCGGATTGGATTTGGGTATAATTCAAGTCATAATAAAGACTTTAAAAAATAGATTACCGTGTTTATGAAGTCCTGGAAGTTAATGCTATCTGAAATAAAGAACGGTTAATGATAATTCATTAATATTATTAGTGAAAGCTGAAACTTGCATTTCTAAAATAAACCCTTCATAAAAAAACTAATTATCCTGGTATAAACCACTTATTATTCTGGTATTTATAAACATTACCCTGGTATAAACCACTATAATTACCCTGGTATAAACCACTAATTACCCTGGTATAAACCACTAATTACCCTGGTGTAAAGCACTAATTACCCTGGTATAAACCACTAATTACCAGGGTACAAACTAATAATTACCCTGGTATAAATCACTAATTACCCTGGTATAAACCACTAATTACCCTGGTATAAAGCACTAATTACCCTGGTATAAACCACTAATTACCAGGGTATAAACCACTAATTACCAGGGTATAAACCACTTATTATTCTGGTATTTATTAACATCTAATTACGCTAGAACAAATCACTAATTACTCTAGAATAAATCACTAATTACCCTAGTATAAATCACTAATTATCCTAGTATAAATCAGTATTTACCAGGGTATAAACCACTAATTACCCTGGTATAAACCACTTATTATTCTGGTATTTATAAACATCTAATTACCCTAGAACAAATCACTAATTACCCTAGAAAAAATCACTAATTACCATAGTATAAATCACTAATTATCCTAGTATAAATCCCTATTTACCTTGCTAAAAACCACTAATTATCCTAGTATAAACCACTAATTACCATAGTATAAATCACTAATTACCCTAGAATACATCACTTATTGCCCTAGTATAAATCACTAATTATCCTAGTATAAATCACTGATTACCCTAGTATAAATCACTAATTATCCTAGTATAAATCACTAATTACCCTAGAATAAATCACTAATTATCCTAGTATAAATCACTAATTATCCTAGTATAAATCACTAATTACCCTAGAATAAATCACTAATTATCCTAGTATAAATTACTAATTACCCTAGAATAAATCACTAATTATCCTAGTATAAATTACTAATTACCCTGGAATAAATCACTAATTATCCTAGTATAAATCACTTATTACCCTAGAGTAAATCACTAATTACCCTATAATAAATCATTAATTATCCTAGGATAAATTACTAATTACCCTAGAATAAATCACTAATTATCCTAGTATAAATTACTAATTACCCTAGAATAAATCACTAATTATCATAGTATAAATTACTAATTACCATAGAATAAATCACTAATTATCTTAGTATAAATTACTAATTACCCTGCTATAAAGCACTTATTACCCTGGTATGTTGATATATCGAAGTCTACGTCTTCAAGTGCTGAGAGAATTAATTCTTCATTTACCAAATCCTTCTCATAGCTCTTCAGCAGATCTGAACAATACAAACTTAGTAATGTACAAATTCTTTCATGGCAAAATATATTTCCGTACTGTTGTACAATATACATTGTACATAACAACTTTGTAAATTTATTTTGATTTATACATCTGTCTTCAACCCTCTCCCCCCACAAAAAAAAACCCCACCACCCCATTTTCCAATTGTTAGCAAGGCCTTAAAAAACTTTTAGGATGAATTTCTTGAAGCATTATCAATCTATTGGATACGTCGCACATAAAAACAATTTTTTATTATAGTAAGAACACATACTAAAAGGGGAAATATAAAAAATAAAACACTTCCTGCATTAAATAAGTAGACACACACGTATACAATAAAAACGCTATAACCACCAGTAGGGGACATTTCAAACATCTAATTAAACAATACCAAAGAAATCTATATTTTCTGCTTTTATAGTTAGAATTAAATCCTATGATATGCTCTGTTATGTTAATAAAACTACTGCACCCTGTACTAATATTATTGAATGTCATTTATTTAATCAATTCAATTATGCATTGTCATTACAAAAATAATTAATTTTCGTACAATGTGCTAAAAACGAATGTTTCGAGACCTGATATATCCATTTTGGATGGTTTAGATACTTCGTGTTCTGTACATAACAGTAGGTTAACAAGAATTGTATATAAATATTTAATAACTGAAGTGTCTGAAGCTAAGACCGGAATCACTACTAGGTGTCGCTTTAAGTGCGTATTATAACTAACTGACTCAGGGTGACCAACTCTAAATATGAAAGATCCCCTAAAACACCAAGAAAATCATCTTCATCCCCTGAATGAAAATTGAAAATTCCCAAAAATTCCCCAAATTTGCACCAATTTCTAAGCAAGAACTAATCAATTCAAGCAATTATAATTACCATAAAAAAAACATTTTTTTTGTAAAAATAGGGATAATTGGTAATTTTTAGCACGGCCCGCTTATATGTATGCTTCTATCTACCGATCTATACTATTTTTGGCTAGTGTACATGTAACTTTGTCGGTGGGCTACGCAGCTGTTATAATATGAGAAATTTGTTTAAAACTCAAAATATTAAATATCAGCAAGGTTGTTTAAATCTTTAGTATCTCCAACAATTTTTATAATACAAAGAAGGAGGCTAAATCTTATCAAGTTTTAAAGACTTACAATGTTTTTCTTTACTCCTTTGACATCTATTAACTTTACGAAAACCAAAGACAAATTGCAAGTTCCAGGGTCCAATGTCTAACGTACTGCATAACACCCCAGCGAAAAAATTACATCAAACCTTGACTATGATATATCCATCTATTATATATCCATGATTTTTAAACTTAAATAACATATATTTTTAGTATTAATTGGTTGAATTGAAAAATAGTCTCTTTCTCAACTTAGTTTAAAATTTAAAAACAGCTTTTTTTATGATCCTTTGAACACCTTTTTTCCCAGTTTTTGATTTTTTAATTTTCTGCTCATTTATACACTTTGACACTGATAAGGTCAATGTTGATAATAACATTTATTGATTTTTCCCCAAATTTTCCAAATTTAATCATCTGGTGAATTAAAAAAACTAAAATTGAAACTGTCAAAAATTCATAGTTATGAGCTGGAATAGTGTATAATAGTCAACTTAGTCAAGTGACCCGGAAAAGATAATAGGATATGTTTATACTCGCATTATCAAAAATTGTTATTTTATTTTTATTTTTATTTGTCCAAACGTCACAGGAATATTATTTGTTTGGTGCTATATTTCTAAATTGATCGTAAGTTGACTTTTATCGAGAAAACTTTGTTTACAGGCAAAGCTGGGTTCCCAAGCTAGAATATATTTAATCCCATGTCATATTGGACGCCTAATACATACAGAATTTACTTATAAAACCATGCATTTTCTGCAGACAAATTGTTAATTGGACTTCTTCATTTTTCTAGATAATAGACGATTCAATCTTCTTTAATTTTCTGCTTAGCAAAAATCCCAATTTAGAACTATGCACAATCCGATATAATATGGGACGTGTACCACAACTCTCATAAAATCATAACCCTCCTAAACCAGTTGGCAACCCTGGTACTGGTAGTCTAAACCAAGAAAGAAAATAAATGGTTGAACCCAAACAGAGCGCTGCGCTTGTCCATTCGTACTCAATAATATAGGAGAGTACATGGACAGGAGTTAACATTCTTTACTTAATACCTGTATACCCTTTCAAACTATTAATAGTCACTCTAAATAGTCCAAAATTATATATTTCTTGATTGGAAAATTTTTAAACACAAACAAATGATACAAGTTTTTGAATATAAAAAAGTTAAAAAGCACGCTATTGACATCATATTTATAACAATTTACCTTCGAACCCTGAGTCCGGTATGGGTATATCCTCCATATTGTTCCCTCACTGTGGGACTGCTAACTTTAAAACGTCGGCATTTTTATTTCATCAGAATTGATAAGGATTTTTGTTCGGTGTAACTTGTCGGACTAGACTAGTTGGACAGTAAGAGAACTGCTGTTTGCAGACAGCGAGAGCTCTGACCAATAGGAGCACAGGATCTTAATTCAGTCAATCAGAGACGAGAGTTTAGAAAGGAAGAAAGCTAGTGAAAATATGGTGATAATAAATGTCGTTTTTGTGTAAGTGTTATTTCAAAGTATCAGTATTATGTACAGGGTGTCCCACCGTCCCACGAAACATAACAGTTGGCAAATAGTTTTGAATGTCGTCTTCCATACACTGTATTAGATGTTAAAGGCTGTTTGAGTTTATTTCGTTTGAAAAATCGTTTGCTCAAGTATATTTTACTTTGAAATTAATTGTACTATAATGACTCCTTATATATAATAATTTTATTATTTTTATTTTTATTATTAAACAATTATATTCAAATTATGGAAGAAGACATTCTAAACTATTTACCAACTGTCATGTTTCGTGGGACACCCTGTATTATAAACCCATAATTCTGAAAATTTAGTTTAGAAAAAAATTCTGTTATATCTGTAAACGAATTAAATATAAATTAATATTTAGAGTTACGTATGTAATATATTAATTTAGAGACGTATTTAGCTTGGTATCTATAACACAGCGATACAAAGGTTCCAAGCTCATGGGGCGTACGAGAGCATTTTTATGGGGGTACAAGTTGCGCAAAAAAAAGTTTTGTGCCTCCCCCCCTCCTTAAAAATACCATTTTTGGAAAAATATTGATGCATTTTTTAACAATGTAAACTATTCGATCATACAGTTCCATATTACAAGTGTTAATGTATCATTTATGTAATTTTCTTAAGTGCAGACTCATTAGACTGGGNCCCCCCCCCCTCGTACACCCATATGAAGGCTCTATCTCAAAAATCAGCATTTTGTTAATCACACTCTCTTTAAACTAAAGCTAAAAAAATGCTTTATGTTTCTAATATGTGCACATGATGTCTAGAACTTCAAAAAGTAAAGGCAGCTGCAATTGCTATCAGCAGAGGTAAAATAAAAGGTGAAACTATAAAGTCGAACCGATCTCGAAAATTCATGCATATTTTCATAGCTGTCTGGTTTTACTGTATTTACTGGTTAAATTTGTTGGGGGGGGGGGCACCAAGTTGATACATTGTGAACGAAGTGGTGGTTGCAAGGGGGAAATGCATCCTTAGAAAAGAAAATATTATAAGAATTATTTGAGGGTCAGATTGGAGCGTTGCTATGAAAAATCAACAAATCACTGTCAGTGGCTCAATGGGCCACTTTTGTAAGAAAAATTGTCTTCAAAATAGGTATACAGGAGGCGTACATTTAGCTGAACAAATTCATTACAGGGTGCTTCGCGCCCATTCTGTCTGAAAAATCATAAATATACATTTCGTATCTCGACTCTGTAACTCCTGTAACCGTCGCAACGCTCGGCCCAGAAAGTGTCTTAACAGCTAACCTAACCTTAAATATACTAATTTTGTTGAAAATTGTTAAAATTGAAGGCCTGTCCTGGCCGCAGCGCTCGGCCCCCTAGCCTGTCATAGCCGCAGCGCTCGGCCCAGTAATAGTCCTAACCTAACCTAACCCTGAAAAAATAGAAAATAAATATTTTTTTGTTGAAAATAGTTGAAATCTAGAGGTCATGTACAAAATTGATCGNCACCAAGTTGATACATTGTGAACGAAGTGGTGGTTGCAGGGGGGAAATGCATCCTTAGAAAAGAAAATATTTATAATTTTGTTAATAAAACTAATTGTTTAGATTGATTTTGAATTTTTAATCTGATTTTTTCTAGAAGTAGGGAATTTTCATGATTTAAAAAAAAAATTCGATCTATAACTTAAATTTTATCTTATCGGTACTCGATAGACGTAGTATATGAAATTTTGGCAATCAAACGTTTTTCGATACTACTGTATGGTATAAATAGTGTTTTAGGAATGGGGCGGAAATCTATAAATATCCCTGATACTTTTTTAAACAATGGTCTATGTTCTTTCACGGACAGCTGAAGGTTTCAGTACGTTTTTCTCTAGTATTATAGGTCCTCAACTATTCTCAACTAGCAAAGAATATCCCAAACTCAACGAAAAAATTCCCTGATTAGCTCTCAGAAAAAAGTGATCAAAACTTTGTTTTTGCAAATATGACCCTGATATTATAAATGATGCTCTTAGCAAATCAAAAAATAAAAACAGCTCTGGTCCAGCTAACATTTCTACAAGCCTATTAAAGTCGATAATGTCAATTATATCATGGGTTCTATCTGCCATTTATTTAATATGTGGTTTACAACTGGTTATATTCCAACCATCCTTAGAACTGCTAAAATCGTTCCAGTCTTCAAGACTAGAATCTGATAATTGTAATTTGTAGAATATGGAATTGCAGCCTGGGGGAGAAATAAAAGTCCTGAAAGGAAAAAAATTAGCTTGCTCCAAAAACGTGCAAATAGTTAGAATTATTGATAATGCAAAAACAGCTTCACATACTGATCCTTTTTTCTTAAAGTATAAAATCCTTAAGTTAAATGATTTGAATGAATTTAATCAAGCAATATTTATGTATAAATACACGAAAAACCTTCTTCCCTATATGGCATACACTTTTAAAAAACTCGGAAATTTTGAAAGATCTCTTAACTATCAAATTGACATTCTGAATACAGCTCATTAGAATATCTTTCCTTTCATGCACGATAGGAAATAACGTGCCACTTAATTTTAAAAGAAGTGCCTCGTTAGGAATATTTAAAAAAGGTTTATTTTAAATGTTATCTGACGCCTACACCTCAAAGTGCAATTTCTTGTTATTCTTGCAAAAAATGATTATAGAACTTTGTAGATTTTTGTACATGCGTAATTTGATTCTGTTATACGTACTAAACTTAAAAACTGAAAAATCAATTATTATGTTATTCTTCACCTCGGTCTCTCTAAATTTAACTAGTAATCCCTGACTTATTGTAAACTTTCAAAACCTAGTAAAATTCATCATATTGTAAACATTTTAATATTATGTAGGTGGGGATAATAACCAAAACAGCAAATAGCTAATCTCCACCCAAATGCTGTAATACATACATATAATAAACAATTGGAAACCACTGTTTAAACTAGTTTGATTAAGATATTGTTTGATGTAAGGGGGGGGGGGGCGGTACCCACCATGGGCCTCCAGAAACACTGGGTGACCCCCCGGCCCCCCCCCCCCTCCTTTGTTACGGCCCTGTATTATAGATAGATCCTAAGAAAGATATATAATAATTATGATATCATTTTATGATATAATTGAATGATATTCAGACATGAGAGTCCGGATCTAATTTCAGACGATTAGACGTACGATTTTCCTCCAGTAAGCTTATAGGTATACTTTTTAGATGTATAGCTGACGAACCATATTAAACTTTTGCCGCCGCAGAGAGGATCTTGCTAGTTGTCATGGTTAAAGAGAGAAGTATTCATCTTTACTCTATAAAGACGAGGGTACCAGCGCTAAATTTTAGATATCTGAGGTCAGCCTGGAGCTATAACCATGTTTAAAACTTAATGGTTTAAAGGGAAGGAACTGTAAGCTTAATTTTAAGTGACTGTGCATGCTAAGATTTACAAGGAACCCTTAAAACTCGAAAAGTTTTTATTTCTGGGAATTTCTCCATTGTTTCTAATAAACAAGAAATGCGTAAGTCACTGTTTGCATAGAAACTAAAATGCAATTAAACAGTTAAACATTAAACATGGATATCTAATTCATACTTGATTAAACAAAACTTGAAAGGGTACCTTTGTAGATCAGACATTATCCTCTTTGCGCAGAGGGTCACATGAAATTCTGTTTACAGTCCCTTTAACTTGTAGAAAAACTACGAATGGAATCTAAGCCTGGATATTTTCCTTTTCAAATCCGTCCAATTATTTCCTTCATCTTCCTCGCCTTTCTCCTCTCCTCTAACGGGTTAACCTACATCCTTCGGATCTACAAGAGGTCCATCAGTCCAGGGAAAATCAACCTCATCATCATCCTCAACTACTACATCGTAGAGAAATACAACGTCGTCATCACTGTCGTGGTAATTTTTGTTTTTAATCTCTCTGTTTCTATAGCATCCGGCCATGAATCGTATTCTCAAATACGTTCTACAAGCAAAATATCTAAACGGGGACTGTTTATAAATTCAAGTGATTCTATTTTTACTCAACCAAGAATCCATCATCAACTCCATGAAAATTTACAATTTCAACTCCATAAAGCTATATTTGCATCTTTGCTTCAGAATGAATTAATGAAATTTCCAAAATTGAACACTTTTCAAACTAAAAATAACGATATCTTCCATGTTAATGACCAGATGGGTACCATGTTGCAAAAACAGTCCCTTTAGTTCTAAAATATAGAATGATAAATAGAAGATTCATGCTGAAAGAAAGGGAACTTTTTCACAACAATTCAAGTAATCATTTAGTTAAAACTGGGTATATGCTCAACTTACAATTATCCCTTTAAAACTTCATCTTGGAAAAAATGATGAGGATATCCTTTTTTTCAGAGGAAAAAGATGACAAATTTCTAGCAGAAAATGTAAAGGTTGTAAGGTCTTGTACTTATATTGCTTTTCAAATCTTGGATCTTTAAATATGATTTAACTAAACAAAAAATAAAAAAATTTCAAATTTCAAATAGATAAAATTTTAAGAGTGCGGCGACAATATGGACTTCAACAGTGTCCTATCTCCCCAGATTCCTGGCGGTCATACTGAGCTGGTTCAACAGCTACCTTGCCTTCTCAACCATCTTCTTGTACTTGGCTGTCAGCAGTTTCCGAGTTCTGTTTGTGGTTAAGGTAAAATTAAAGATTGGATTGCATGACAAAGATCCCCCCCCCCCTGGATAATTGTAATTATTTAACTATCTTCTATGACAAGGATTTCACTCCCTAGGATAATTGTAATTAATTTTATGACAAGCATTTTCATCCCCTCGATAATTGTATTGATTTGGACTATCTTCTATGACAAGGATTTCACCCTTCCCCCCTTGATGATTGCAAGGACTTGAATCACCACTGATGACATATAACTCCCCTCCCCCTCCCCCAAGAAAATTGCAAGAATTTTAAATATCATGGGAAAAAATGATTTCCATAGACAAATTCAAAAGTAAGCAAGTCAGCACAAATTTTACTATGCGCGAAGCACCCTTAATTAAAACCTTGTGTTCTTATATTTGTTAAATTAGACCTTTCAAGTAAAATGATAATGTAAAATATTCAAATATTTATTACAATATTAAATATAACCTTTCAAGTAAAATGATAATGTAAAATATTCAAATATTTATTACAATATTAAATATAACCTTTCAAGTAAAATGATAATAGTAAAATATTCAAATATTTATTACAATATTAAATATAACCTTTCAAGTAATTAAAATGATAATAGTAAAATATTCAAATATTTATTACAATATTAAATATAACCTTTCAAGTAAAATGATAATAGTAAAATATTCAAATATTTATTACAATATTAAATATAACCTTTCAAGTAAAATGATAATAGTAAAATATTCAAATATTTATCACAATATTAAATATAACCTTTCAAGTAAAATGATAATAGTAAAATATTCAAATATTTATTACAATATTAAATATAACCTTTTAAGTAAAATGATAATAGTAAAATATTCAAATATTTATTACAATATTAAATATAACCTTTTAATTTTGCTTTTAATGCATACACAATTGAATATCTTATTCGAAGAACACTTTGTTCGGTCGATGGGAAAGGGAAAAGGGGGGGGGGTCACATGTTCCAGCCCACGATGTTAATCTCTTTTTAGAAATATCGGTTACATGGTCTCATTAATATGCATATTTACTTGAAAATTCACAAAAGAAAGTATATAGGAAAACTCACCAAATTTTATTGTTATTGTTTTCAATTGTTAACAAATCTTTATAAATATAAAATATGAATACTTAATACTCACAGAAAAAAAGTTTATGAAAAACTAGGTTTTACTTTCAGTTCGTGCATTTTTCTATACTTTTAGAGGATAACACTATATCAAATCGTAAGAAAGTATAAAAGAATATAATGCATATTATAAAGTTTTATGTCTGAAATTATTTGAAAAAATTGGATAAGAAAGAAATTGGAACCCCTGAACAAAATGAAAAAACCTGTTTTTTTTCAATAATTTCTTTGCGAAGTATGTTTTTTTATTTACAAAATGTGATTAAACATACGAGTTCTCATTTTTAGAATTTATATCTGAACAAGTTGGCCTCTACAGTGGTATAAAACCATCCACTGCTGTGGATATCCATGCTGTAATCCTAGCCACTGCGTTCACACTCAGCCTCATGGCAATGGTCCTCTCCTACACCTTCAATCGGGAATATCTGAAACGAAATCACAGTCATCTCATCCTCTCAGAACATACAATCAGTCGGAACGTGATTAGTTTTAAATCTCTGATAGTAGTTGGAGTACTGCTCTACCTTCCTAGCCTAGTCTATCTTAGCTTTCAGTACTTTCTCCCTCAAAACTTCCCGACAGGAAACATTCTCACATGCTTCTTCTTAAACTGTGGTCTGGCGTACTTCGCCAAATCAAAACAAGTGAAAATATTTGCTTGCGGGAAATAAATATAGTCTCAGTACTGAAGAACAATAAAAGTTAATTGTTGACAAAAAAGAAAGAAAAAAATTGGCTAAATATTTTTCAATACAAATTTTCTTGTAGACAATACATTGGTCTAAGTACTGAACAATAATAACAGCTGATCAAAAATAAAAGAAAGGGGGAAAATAGACTGAAGTTACATTACTGTCTTACTTAAGAAAAAACAAACAAATTGTAAACAAAAAAAAGAAAATAGAAAAAAATGAGGTTGACTTTTTAAAAGGTTACTATACAATTTAATTCTAATTGTAAAAAAACACAGTGGTCTCATGGTACTGAAAAACTTTGAAAGATGATTATCCTACAAAATATTAAATAGCAACCTAGGTTTGAAGAGTTAATGATTTTTAGCTTTTTTCCCTAAAAATTAGAAAATGAAATTTTGAGAAACATTTATGATAATATAAAATTTTATCTTCGAATTGCAGGTTCAATTAAATAAATCATAATTTAAAAATTAAGTAAAATTATTATAAGAAACCTGATACACAATTCTTGCATTATGTTTGGGGGGGGGGGTGATGATGGGAGGCTGGGTAATGAACTGCCCTTTTTATTATTCTGTGCTTACATTTTGACATGCGTTCCAACTCGTTGATTCTTTCGAAATAACCCACCATGTAAGGAAAAGTTTTCATATAAAAAACTCTATTTTCAGAGTTATTTTCAATTTTGAGAGTTATTTTCATGATTTATCATTAGAATCTTATATCTTGTAATCACAATTATATGGGAATTTTTAAGCGAGAAAAAAAGAAAATGATACGGAAAAAAATTATCTTATTCGTTCACATGTTAAAACATTTAATTTATAATTTATCATCATCTAAAAGTAATTTTATATTAAATTTTCTCACATAACACTTATTTGCCAGAAATCACAGCTTTGAGTATATGTATATTGTGTAAAAAGTGTTTTTATTGTATTATTGAAGATATCATGGTGCCAAGAGCGGTTAATGTCGGTTATTTTTTTGTAAAATTTAACGTGCTGAAATTTAGATATTCATTAACTATCTATATATATCTTGAAGTATTCGGATTTTTGTGATTTGCATATAGCAAACCCGCAAAACTGTGGAACAGAACATTTGACATTTTTGCTTTTTGGGTTGGTATAAAGGAAAACGTTTATAAGTATCTTGACTGAAAACTGTTGATAGGTTTGTGTTGTGTCACGTGTGTAAATTTTTAATATTGCTGTTTTCATCTTCACTGAACAGTTTTGAAAATAAAACTTGAGTGGAATGCAGTCCTCTTTCTACAGTTTTTAGGTCTCACTGTAAAACATGGTTTTGAGCCCCTGGCATGGAAATATAATTGAAAATGTTATCTATATTTTATAACTCTTCTTTGAAGAATCAAAACTTAACAAATTTATTCCAGATATGTAGAAATAAATATGAAATATTGGCCAAATATTGATGTAACAAAAACTATTAAAAATTTGTTCAGTGGTTTTCATGTTTTAACTCTCGTATCTGTATATTTTTCGTGGCGTAATAAAAAATTATTATAACATGCTTTATTTCATTTAAATTTTAAATATCTATACATAACATTAATTTTTTCACGATAATGAAACACTATGATAATAACTCATACACAGGAAAATATCTTAATACAGTAGTATTCATGAAACTGTGGAATAGGAAGATACCATTTTAGAAAATTCAAATGTATTTTACGCTGTTATAAAGCGAATAGTTTGATAAATTTCTGGGAATTTCGTGTTTATTGAACTATTTGAAATCATACCTTAGGTCCAACAATCGTTTTCCTTTTCCATAGTTTGATCGGTCTCACTGTAGCAAAAGTATGTTCAAAGCATAAACTTTATCATCTGAGCATCAGTCAAGTAGATCATTGAATTATGTGAACATGCTTGACAATAAACTCGTGTTTCAATTTTGGTAAAATATATTTCAGTTTCTTCTTAATTTTTAGAAATTCTGTTGGTTTGGTTTAATGAACGTTTGGGTTTGACGCCCAAATCTAAAATCTAAAGACTAGACAGGTTTTTACAAGAAAGATAAACTTTTTCATTTACAATCATTATAATTTTATGGGCGCATATTTGCCCTTTAATTGCTTAAAGGTATTGTTGGCCTATTGACAAAATGACGCAATTTTTGGAGTTAAGAACAAAACATCTATAACCGGAGATAGGCTTACATCATACGTGTGAATTCACACTCCTCTGCTGCTTTAGTATTTGTATATTGGCGGTACAGTCCAAAGTAGGGCCGGAAAGGTTGACCCAGCTCGTATATTCAAATGTACACCGGTGGAGCGTGAACTGTGTTCTTAATTGGAAGTTGTGTTTATTCTCAAAAAAAAAAACAATCCATTGAAGGCACGGTAGAATGTATATTTTAAAACAACAAGGATAAAAATAAAAAAAACTCTTTTCTGCAAATGTTATTTGCGCAAGAAAAATAAGCAAATCAAAATAATACTCTAGCCAGGATCTTTGATTTAAAATACACTTTTAAAAAATTTTAAAGGTTGAAGCTCAAAAATCTTGCCGACGTTTTTTTCCAATTTTTTAATCACAAATCGTAATATTTTTAATTGTAGAATGTAAGTTTTTAATGTTAAGTTTTGGAAAACTTTTGACGACCAAGACACGGTGGAATAAATTTGACAATTTTGAGCTTTTATGATTAAAAATGTATGAGCACTTAAAGGGAGTGTTCGCGAAAAATGAAAGGGGTATAGGCTTACGTCGAAAAATTATCGATGGTGATCGCTACTAATCCTGCTTCTATCTGTTGCGTCTACAAAGAGAAAAATGTTAAAAACGACTCATACCGAAAATACGTAGCGTCCATACAAATTCAAAAAGTTGAAACAGTCGACTCGGATCGTAGAAAAAATCAATTTAATTCCAAACAAATCATCAAAATATTATTTGATGCCTTCATATTTCGCATATAGTTGATATTTTATAATATTTTTTACTTGTTACTCTAGACAGAGACATCTATAGCGGTCAAATGAACGTCCTTTAAAGTAAAAAATATATAAAATATAAACTATATACGAATGCGTCAAAAAATAATTGATGATTAATGGTTGTAATATTTGAATAGTTTGTTTGGAATGAAATTGATTTTTTTTACGATCCGAGTCGAATGTTGCAACTTTCTGAATTTGTATGAACGCTACGTTCTTCGGCATGAGTAGTTTTTAACAATTTTCTCCTTACAGACGCAACGCAACGCTTATTTTTCTCCTTAAGACTATACCCCNGGGGGGGGGGGGGTTTAGACTACAGATTGTTATTCTATTATTGATAAAAGCTAGAGGTGTTTACATGATTTCAATGCTAAAAAAGCACAAACAAATGTTTGCCTCCTTTAAATGGACTGGTTGGGGGAGGGAGGGTGCATTCATTTTTAGTAGGAGCCCTCAACTTTTTAATTTTCCCCTTTTTCCCGCCCTGAAATAATAGCACTTACCATAACCCTTGGAACACCCCTAGCTCCGAATATAAGGTGCACAAGCCCCCCGAGCACCAGGGGCGACAAGGGGAGGAAGGAAAGGGCCCATCCCAGGGGCATCCCCCATCCGGGGGGTAGGGACATTCTGAAAGTGGCCAGTGGCGCCAGAAGATGGTCCAGGGACAACAAGTGCAGGGACCAACATAATCCACCCTGAAATATGATGTTTTATTAACAGAAATACTATAAATTGGAATTATGGTTTATGCGATGTTTTCAGGGTCAAATTGGCCATGCAAGAGCCCATAGTTTAAAATATCAAAGGTCTACGACATTGGGTTACTAAGATATGGGGACTAGAAAATCAGAGTTTGTGCCAAAGACCAAAGTCCTTTTCAATTTATCAAAAAATTTGAAAAATAACATAAAAAATGAAATCTTTTCATTCTATGGGTCACAAAATATTGTAAGTAATGCTATTGGTTCGGCTAATGTTTAAGTTTAGGAACTAGACGATGAGATGTTTGTTTAACTTTGATATAAATAAATTAAACTCAAGTAAAGAGTAATTAAGTGCAGTCTGTAATGCCAACAGAATGTATGGAGTAACTAAAGAATTGTAATTGTATAGTATAGGCATAAAACGCACAAACAACCTTGACTTCCCCCCCCCCCCCCTCCCCACGATTATCCCGTTGACATCGTAATTATGACCTACAGTACAACTTGAATAAAATTAGGAAAGGAAATCAAGGATTTTTAAAAACAGGTAATTATATCATTTCCTCAAATTAAAACAATTCCTTAGACAAACCACTCTCCACTAAACACTATATATATCTTCGGTCAGTGCACTGCAGATTACTGCAGAACACTCCGAAAGCTTAGTTGACAGTTGAACACGAGAACAACGTTTAACCTTAAAGGGCCTAAAGTTAACCTTAAAGGGCCTAAAGTTAACCTTAAAGGGCCTAAAGTTAACCTTAAAGGGCCTAAAGTTAACGCTTTTTCAAGTTAAAAAGTAATATTCTTACTTAGATAAGGATTTATTGTAACGTTGTAATTTGGGTATATTACTAGCTCAATGGAGTCCCTTAAAGCAATACAATTAATTTGACTCAATAGCTATCCCTATCTTTACTTGGTTTCTGCCTTCTGGAAGATTTCGTAGATTAAAAAAATATTCCATTTAATTTGAGTTAAAATCAAATATTCAATCAATATAAAAAACGTCTGTTTTGTGAAAAAAAATTAATAGAGACCTGATAAATGTTTTATTAGGTTATGACTACATCATAAGCTATAACAAATTATCGTAATTTTTCCGGTCCAGCCATAAGCATTGATTTTCTTTTTGTGGGAGAGGAGTAATTTTAGAAATATTTTTTATTAATTCTTTCATGTATTTAAATTGGTGTAAATTTGAATACAATTTGTGTAAAGCGCCACAAATTTCTAAATATACTAATCGCATATAGTTGATATTTTATAATATTTTTTACTTGTTACTCTAGACAGAGACATCTATAGCGGTCAAATGAACGTCCTTTAAAGTAAAAAATATATAAAATATAAACTATATACGAATGCGTCAAAAAATAATTGATGATTAATGGTTGTAATATTTGAATAGTTTGTTTGGAATGAAATTGATTTTTTTTACGATCCGAGTCGAATGTTGCAACTTTCTGAATTTGTATGAACGCTACGTTCTTAAAGTGAGTCGTTTTTAGCAATTTTCTCTTTATAGACGCAACAGATAGAAGTAAGATTAGTAGCTATCACCATCGATACTTTTTCTACGTCAGACTATAACCCCTTTCATTTTTTGAGAACACTCCCTTTGATAAAAAAAAAGTTAGACAACTGAAACATTTCTATTATTCTGTTCAGCTGCCAGCTCAAGGTGTTCATTTCTATAGTAGCGGTCAGTTGGTCGAACACATCCTTTCAAATGCTGAAAATAAAATGATATAAATGATCAATTTGCTAAAATTATAACTTTTGTCAAGATTTCAACAAAACAAAAGTAATTTGATATTCATTCTCTGGAATTAATAAAGTGAAAAAACAATAAAAAAACGTATCAATCAAAAATGAAAATAAAAATATATCTGAAAAATAAAACATTTCTAATAATGAAAATAATATGGAAGAATGATTTCTTCTTTTTGGGGACTAAGAAAGAAATAATAAGAAATTTGAAAATTTCGAGGAATTTTTCATAAAATGATGAAATGAAGAAATGGCATTTTTTTAATGCTAAAAATGATAATAATAATGTGCTTAGATTAAGACATGTACTCCACTTTAGGGATTTACAGGAAACCAAATTATTCAACCGTTTATTAACATGCTCCTCCGTTTCCTAAACTCTTGAGATGTTACAAAATGATGAAAACATACTTTACTCATCTCGGATAAATCCTACACAAATAACGGAAAATTCAAGTAATAATAAGCGTTATGATTTAAACTTTGATAATTGATACATAACGACAATAATTGTGCAAAGTTTTCTGGCATGTTTAAAAGATACCATTTGTTTACAACAAGTAAAATAATTCATAAATTTTTTTTTAAGTCATCATTGCTTATTTACGATACAAGCAATATATTGCAACTTTCTGAATTAGTAAGGACGCTACATTCTTCGGTATGAGTCGTTTTTAACCAGTTTCTCTTTATAGACGCAACAGATAGAAGTAAGATGAGTAGCGATCAAAAGCGCTTATTTTTTTACCGTAAGCCAAGACCCACTTTCATTTTTCGCGAACACTCCCTTTAATTAATTTGTTTTTCAAAACAATTTTCCGATTTTTCCTTCCTTCATCATATTTCTGGTTCCATGGCAGAGTACAGCAGGCAGTACAGTTAGCAGTACAATAAGGAGCTGGGGCCAGGTGGCTATATATGTATTCACCAGGTGGTAAACATTTATTCCTCCCTAAATACAAACAATATAAACAATATAAACAATATAAACAATATAAACAATATAAACAAAATGAACAATATAAACAATATAAACAAAATAAACAATATAATCAATATTAACAATATAAACAATATAAACAATATAAACAATATAAACAATATAAACAATATAAACAATATAATCAATATAAGCAATATAAACAATATAAACCATCACTAAAAAAACCATTGATTATTTTAAGCTTAGTATTACCAAACAAACCATTGGTGTTTTTAACCCATTCGTGACGGGACGGTCAATTTTGACCGGGTAAGGTTTTTATTTTTTAGCGCCTTCATTTTTAAACCAACTGTCGTCTCGTTTTATTCCAGATCCTTCCTACATATATGCCAAGTTTTGCAAATAGGTGACAGGTCGATAGGTTAAACCGGCTTCACTTGGGGGGTAAATACAATGTCAACATCTTTAAATTCTGAAACCTCTGGGGACAACAGGTATAAATCAGTGAAAAAATGTTTCAAACGGGAATTCCGGCTACAATTGAAAAGTAAGAAACAGTTAAATTTGAAAGAATATAACAATTTTTGTAAATATGTCAGAAAAAAATCGGAAAATCTAGGTTTCAGACCATGACGGCATGCTTTAGTTCTTAGTTGTTTAATACAGGATGAACAACAAAATATTCACAAAAAATAAATATAAATTTTGGAGAAGACTTTCCTTTTCTAAAAAAATATTTATGTTCGTATGCGCCCGAGAAATAATTGCAAAATTCAGAAAGTACAAGACTGTTGCGATCAAAATCATATTTATTTATTTATCATATAAAAACCCATGCTAGGCATTTACTAATAAACATATACGATGCAACATTTTTGAGTCACCCTGTTCAGAGATAATTGGAAATTGTTCAGATTAAGAATGTTTGAGAGAGCCTGCAGCAAGAAACCCTGCCGGAAATCACAAGATCCGCAATGATTTAAGCAAAAGTTAAATCGGACAACAAAGCACACGATTTGAGATCTGTAATATTTATCAGAGATCACAAAGAAACAGAAAGAATCACAGGGAATCTTTGGAGATCACAGATAATCATTGGAGATTAAATTGAACCATTAGAGATAACATAGCATCATTAGAGGTCAAGGAGAATCTTTGAAGATTACATTTAACCATTGATGATTACGGAGAATCATTGTAGATCACAGAAAAAATTGGAGATCACGGAAAATTATAGGAGATCACAGATAATTACTGGAGATCACAGGGAATCATTGGAGATCACAGACAATCATTGGAGATCACAGCTAACCATTGGAGATCACTAAGAAAAAGTGTAGATCACAAAGAACCATCAGAGATCACAGGGAATCATTGGAGATCACAGATAACCAGTAGAGATCACGGAGAATCTTTGTACATCACAGAACCCCATTGGAGATCACAGAAAATTATTGGAGATCACAGATAATCATTGGAGATCACAAAGCATCATTGGAGATCACGGATAACTATTGAAGATTGCAGAGAATCCATGTAGATTAATGAAAGCCATATAATGGACATTTTTAGAAATGGTTCACATTTTTGGAAAATACGGAGACTCATAAAGACTTTATGGAAGAAAGTTGGCGGAAAAAGATTTAATCTCACAAACCTTAATTTTCCAAACCAAATAAAATTCAATTCAAGATGGCCGTTCATTTCCAAGAAAAGATTAATTAGATCCTTCCATCAAGATTTTGCTGTATTACCTGAGTAGTCATGAATATATCCAGTAGAAAGAAGACCACGAGGATAAGGAATGTAATGAGTGGCCTAAAAAAATAAAAATGCACAACAAGAAATAAAGAAATAAAATAAAATATTTCTAATATGGTTAAGTTACCTGTACGGAATGAGTGAAGGTCGAATTGCCACAATACTTCCAGTCATAACCTCCAGATATCCAAAGATGGAAGATATACAAACTTAATAAAAACACATTTTAAGATTGAGAAATTGTTGTTTATTATGTGTAAATATTTTGTTGTTGGTGTAACAATATGAAAACTCAAAATGAAAAAAACTCATGAACCTCATATTTTCCAAATTAAAAATAAATTTTTCGAATTTTCTGTTCTGAACAGGGTTACCGACAAAAAGATGAGACTTCAGAGAAGATTGTACGAATTCGATTAGTCCGTTTTCTTGCCTTCAGGGTTCATTGAATGTCCTTAGACATTTAGTAAACCATCAAAATACTCAATTGAAAGCAGAAAACAAAAATCAAGCTTCAAATCGCCATATTTTTAGAGTTTCATGTCGTCTTTACAGTCTAATCCTGTGTGGGTAACCATGTATAATATATCAGTAATCAGTAATCAGTAATCATACCAGGCTTTAAGATAAAAAATCTTTGATACGACTAGGACTTCCTCAGATCTAGTTAGTTTCACGTGAATTCCTTTAATTTCAATTATTTGTTCTTACCTAGAACTATGAGAACAAAGAGAAGTCCCCCCCAGAGCCAGCCATAGGATAAACTTGATATTGCAGACTCCAGAGCTGTTACTCCCAGCAGCCACATTCCTTGACCTACAGATAATAATAATAATAATAGTAATATTAATAATAATAAAATAATAACAGTAATAAAAATAATAATAATAATAATAATAATAACAATAATAGTAATAATAACAATAATAATAATAATAATAATACTAATAATAAATGATTTTCAGTGCTTATCTATAGCATAGGGCATAAAATAGTATTGTTTTCGTGGATTTATGATGAATAGATAGAAGTAGATAGAAGTAGAGTAGAAGTAGAGA